TTGAGCTCATAATTAGGGTTTTACATCTTTGTGTATTAAGCTTGCCTTTTTTTCTATCTGCACTGCTGCTTACATGTAATTTTTCATATGCATTGTGCGATCATGTTTATCTCGAGCGGCAGCTCTGCTCTTGAGAATACAAATCAGTCTTTAGTTGGGCCTAAAATCAAGCTCATCCTTCCTCAGTCTGGATTTATTCATCTCTTAGATTGTCTCTCAACCTTTGAAGCTACACTGTGCTGTAGGACAGAGAAAAGGCTGGCGAAGGAGGGAGGACGTGAGGGGAATGTGAGGGCGGCTGAACTTGGAGACGAAGTGCTCTGCTGGTTTTCAGAATGTGCAGCTTCAGTTCGGAACAGAGGTGAAGTCAAGACTTTGAAATGTGTGAGGCTGAGGTAATTTGGTCGGAGCTGGTGTCGCGTTGGCCTGAAGTGAAACCTTTAGTTTTGGCGTGTACCTCTCTGCAGCCTGTTCGTTTCCCTCTAACTTTCTCAATGGAGGGGATGCCAATTGAACACCTGCACATGGCATGAGAAACGTGTCTGATCTTCATGACGTAAGCAGGGCCCCGGCAAGACAAGGAAACGACTCCCTCCTTTTTGGTCGGAAGAGTGATGTCATCGCAGGGAGAGCGTGAGGTTGGCTGCGGCTTTATTGAGCTTGGCATTTTATTACCAAGAGTACCAGACGTGTGACCACATGCACCAGTCCATGCGAGGACACAGACCTGGGAAGCTGAGAGCTTGATATCATGGCATTTGTGAACCGATTTAAAGCCCTTTCAGAGGGAAAAGGAGAGTGAAGCAAAACCATAAAACAGAGAAACGTAGACAGATACCCAGTGGGGAAGAGGGACAGCATGAGTGTGAATGCTGATGGGGATAGCAACGCGTGGAGCAACAGAGCTGCAGAATCCTGAATCCAGCAGATGGAGACTCCGTGTCCTTGTTTTGTGGTGATCTGTGGAAGCAACATGCAGCTCGCGCCTCTGCCTCGCACTGCTGCAGTGGAGGAGTAAATGCGGAGCCCAGCACTGCTCCAGGTGATCCACAGCAGCCCAGCCCGGCAGACTGCTCCCTCCTCAGCCTTCCCTCTCCTCCTCCTTTTCCTCCTTCTCCTTTTCCACCTCCTCATCCTCTTCCTCCTCCACCACCTCCTCTTTTTCCTCCTCCTCCTCTTCTTCCTCCTATGTCACTGCTCCATTCCTCTGAGGGCTTTGGAAAGAGATAAGAAAGGATCAGAAAAGCAGAGGAGAAATCCTGCTTTCCCCCCTTCCGTTCTCAGATGTGACACACCTCTGCCCGACTGTCCGCCGCTTCCCTGTCATCGTGTGAAGACGCGCCGCATATGTGCTCAAATGTCTCCGGAACATAGACTCGCTACTAGGTAAGAAGACTCAGACTCATCCAGAGAAATGTTTCTTGCCCACTGTTTTCTTTTTGGGTTTTTTGTTTTGCTTTTTTTCGAGACGTTTTCTGTGGAACTGTTCCAGCCCCAAGTGAGAGTGTGAATTTAACAGGTAGATGAGAAGTTATCACATCAGATCGGACAGAAAAGAAATCAAACGAGGCTCTCAAAGACGAATACATTTGTCTTCAGGTTTTAGGAAAAGCACCACTTCCCCTCAGCAGTCACAGGGATCCATGCAGGTGTGTGTGCATTCATATATGTGTGTTTGTGTGTGTGTGTGTGTGACAGAATCCAACAGGGTGGCAGGGATTGCTCTTCAACTAGAGCCTTCTCGATGGGTAACAGGGGGATTATCATCTTTACAGTGTGGCCAAAAAGCTTTCTATCGATCTCCTTATGGCCACAAATGTCAGTAGAATCTGTGACTTCAGCATAACTGACAGACTGTCTTTTTCAGTGGTACCAATAGTTGATCATTATGTAATCATTTCTATGGATACAGTTTGGCGATAGAGAGGAAAAAAATCTCGTCATTTTCTGCATGTCTTAATCCCCCGTTTTTCATGGATGGGGATGAATTTCAGATGAAGAAAGCACTGAAAGGGGGAATTAGGGTACTGACAGGAGGGTGGAAGAGGACAGGAGGGGGGTGGAGGAGAATTTACTCCATCACTCTTTGATTTGGAAAAACTGCTGGCCAACAGCTGAATGGTGCAAGTCTTCAGTCTCTCAGTAACACGCTAGGTCTTACTCTGCAAAGCCCGAACCTGGAAGTGACCAAACAAGGCTTCATCGCATTCACCTTTCAAACACAGTGTCTTTGTAATATCATAATAAGAGATGGAGACCAGGTGATTCTGCAGCAATGTGTCCAAAACCTGCATTCTGCTGTGAGACAGAGCATCAGCACTCTGTGTGTGCGTGTCTGTGTGTTTGCGAGCTAAAACCTCTCACAGTGTCCTGCAGAAAACCTGTTTTGGATAAAAATATATGTGCATTTATTGCTAATTTATGTTTGGATGCAGAATCAAATCTTTCATCGCTGCATTTGGCACCATGAAACATCCTGTGCGGACATCTGTAGTCACACACATGTGCACAATCTGTACATATTATGTGCTCTCTCGCAATAAGCTCTCATTTCTCACACACTGTACACAGAGATAAACCTGTCGGCGCACTCCGACAGCTGTGCAGGATGAATCAGGTTGCTTTCTGGTGTAGCGAGGTGTCTGGCTGGTTGTTTGTCATGCGCGGCATTGGGAGGATCCCAAAGGAGCAGAGTCTGAGCTTCTCTCAGCTCCCAAGCTGCTTTTCCCCCTCCTTTTGATTCTCCAGGAGAAACACTAGCATCCTGAAATGCTTCATTTAGCCATAATAAGAGTGTCAAGCTCCACCAGCAGCCCCCAGAGGCTATAATGTAAATTACACATGTGAATATGAAAGTCTTGGACAGTCTCTGCCAGTTACTTCTTGGTGGTAGAAGGAGTACTTTGACATTTTGGTTAATGTTTTTTTGGCTCTTGGTTATGAGTAAGCAGAAGATTGATCACTATAATGTCTTAACAGCAAATGTACAGATGAAGCTCACAGTCTATTGGCTTAGCTGAGAATAAGGACTGGAACCAACACATAAAAACTAACTGTTCCCTGGGCTGGACATGTAATAGTTATACCGGCCTCCTGCCAATTTGTCCCAGCCTTTACAAACATCAGAAAATTTTCAGTTTCGTACATTAGCGGGCTTCACAGATGCTGTTAGGTTTACTTTGTTACTGCTGGACAGAGCCGGACTAGAAGTTTTCCCATTTACTGCCTTTGCACTAAGCCAAAGTAACTAACTTCTCACTGTGGCGTTGGCATTTTAGATTGACCCTAGTGACATGAAAGTGAAAAAGTACTTTACCACAAAATATAAAACTAAGGGTTTAGCACTCTGAGAGCATGGATGTGCTCACAAAATTTCTAATCCTGCTTGATAATGATACTGTTATGCAAGACTGAATTACAGAAAAGCCTATCAGGTCAGGCGGTCAAAACATTAAAATTAATCCTATGTAGACCTCTTTTACAACTTTAGTCAGATTTCAAGGAAATTAAACTATTAAATGTGGAGATTCTTGAGTGTCATGTAGAATTTTGACTTTTGACCCAACAGCGTTGTTAAATCAGTTCTCATGTGGTTGCAAAAATGATTCGGAGTCTTTTTTGAAGACCAAAAATTTCCACAAAATTTGACATTAGGGGTTTTTGAGTTAGGAAACAAACAATGGGAAGACTGAACAGTGCTCTTGACTGCTGACACCGGATGGTAATTCATATTTGGAGTGTTGAAACATCTTCTGAAGTCTCCTTTTTTTTTTGTATTGCAAAGGCTTTTTGTATCCTGGAAAGATTTTTTTTTTTCTAAATTCTTGATTTAGAAGTTTTCTCCTACTCTTTCAGTTCTGAGCTATTTTAGGCTGTCTTGCAGGCACAGTATGTTTAAGATTTACCCACACAGTTTTAATGGTGTTCAGGGAAACTGTGAGGGCTTTTCCAAAAACTTCAGTTTGCTCTGCTCCATGATGGATTTTAGATGGACATTTTCACGTCTCTTTCTCTTTCAGCCACGGTGTCTTGGCCGACTGCACAACATTTGGATCCCGGATTTGTTAATATTTATTCTTCTTCTATACATGTAATGTTTCCAGTTCACCTGGTTTCCACACATGTGTTACAGCTGACATGATATTCTTTTACTTCAAAGAATTCTGAATTCAAAATTAGTTTTGACTTGTTTTAAATGGGACTATCCAGAGCTTGCTTTGTGCAGAAGAGGACAATGGGGAGCAAAAGTTTCATGTAGGCCAGGGATGTCGAGTTCTATTTCAGTAAAGGTCAAATTTGGGAAAGGGGGATTTCCCAATGTCAGATGATGTCAGATGTAGTGAGTTTAAGGGCCAGATATACAGTCAAGTGAAAAAGGAATTTTTTCTTAGCACTCTGTGCAGTTCTGTGAAAAACTAACTACATTCCGTAGCTTGTAGAATCACTTTTAGGAGCAATAATGTAAAGTAATTGTTTTCTCTATGAATTTATCAGTCTCTCACATCGAATTTAGGCCCACTCTTCTATACAGCATTACCTCAGTTCATTGAGGTTTGGGGGCACTTGTCTGGACTTTGTCTGTGCCATTGCAGCACCTTCATTCTTTTCTTTTTCAACCATTCTGCTGGAGACCTGCTGCTGTGCTTGGGATTGCTGTCCCGTTGCATGACCCAGTTCCAAACAAGTTTTAGCTGCCAGACGGACAGGGGTCACGTTTTGCTCTAGAATACTTCGGTACATAGAGGAATTCATGGTTGACTCAAAAACAAGTTGCCCAGGTCCAGCAGCTGCAAAACAAGCCGAAATGATCACCTCCTCAGCACCTTTACTCTTGACAGTTGCTATGAGGTATTTGTGCTGATATCCTGCACTTGATTTTCTCCAAACTAAGCATTGTGCACTATTGCCAGACAGCTCCTGTTTGGTCTTGTCTGTCCAAAGGATATTGTTCCAGAAGTCTTGGAATTTTTTCAGATATAACTTTGCAAACTTAAATCTAACTGTCATGTTCTTTTTAGAAAGAGGAGGCTTTCTCCTGGCAACTCTTCCTCACAAGCCATACTTGTTCAGTGTTTTTCTAATTGTACTGTAATGAACTTGAACATTTCACATGCTAACTGAGGCCTGTAACGTCTGAGATGAAGCTCTTGGATTTTGCAGGTCTTCTGAGTATTTCAGTCTGACCTTGGGGTGAATTTGCTAGGACATTTACTCCTGGGAAGACTGTGGCATTGTATTGACAGAGGCCTGAATACTCCTGATCAGCAAACTCCCAAAACATCTACCTTCACAGAGGTGGTCACACTTGCTGATAATCAGTTAATCAAGTGCTTTTATTAGCAGTGTCTGACTAATACTTACACCATTAATCCTATGGAAGTATAAGCCCAGTGCCATAGATTTCAGTGAAAACTTTATCTTTATCACGTGTCTGCAGACTGTAGTTTGTTAATGTGCTTTAATTAAATAAAATATTGTTACCTGTCCCACATAGCATTCTTACATTCATTTTGGTCCACATAATAATTCAACAAGTCACCTAGCCATCATAAAGCTTAGACAAAAAACTAACTACAGTCATAGTTTTACTGGTAGGCTGAATGTGTCGACTATTGGCAGTATGAGGATTTTTAAATTGCATGATAAAGCATAAATACATAAAAGCAAAGTGATAAATCTTTCATTTTGTTCTTGCATTATTTTTTGAAAGTGTCACTGAATGTGTTTTACAGTCCTGAACATGACAAGTCAGTGTTTGTGTGAGGCAAAAAGTAAAAAACCTTTGATCGTGTAGTTTAGTACACAGTCTAGCCTTCTGGTGTAAAATCTGATCAACCAATGTGACTTTTCATCTTCATCACTTTAAGGGTTGGCGTCTTTTTTTTTTTTTTGTAATATAGCTGTATGCTGCTTATCAGTTCAGCGATTTTCAGTCTCTGTCTCTGCTGCTGTGTGGCTTCAAAATGATGATGCAAAGTATGTGAAATTGCTTCACGGTAAATGGATGCATTGGCCTTTCTTGCCTCTTCTTATACTCAGTGAAGAAGTAGTAAGTTTAACACCTCTGCCTTCAGGATCAACATACTTCTTTTTCTGCCAAGTTTAGGTTCAGATACACATATCTGTTTAGTTTGGTGTATGCACAGGTTGTGTGGCTCTATACGAATTTGTGGAGGACTGAATTTAGCTCTGACCCTTGAGTTAGACACGTAATAGTAGTATGGACAGCGCAAATGACATGTTTTCATTGCCTTTCTCTGTTTTATACCAATCATTCCTTAGTAAGTTCAAAAGAAGAGCCCATGGTTGCTGAGTCAGATGATTTATCAGCTCTCAGTCATCATCAGGTGACAATTATTCTGCTTCCAATTAAAAATCAATTAAGA